GGCATAGTCAGCCAGGAAGCCCACAGTCTTGGGAGGGAGAGGAGCTTTTGCAGCTGCCTGCCCAGGCTCTTGATGACAGGTTTGGGAGGAAAGGTAGAGAAGGTTATGAAAGAATCCACAGGGCTCTGAACAGAGCTCCGAAGGAGGCTGCAGAATTGGGCCACCTGGAGGGTGGACTGCAAAGCTTTCGTCCATAATTGCCACGCTTGGATGTGTGGAGCTAGCGTACAAGTATTTTTCTTTGCATTGTGTAGGTAAATATAGTGGCTTGGAGTCTTTAAAACACCATATTAAGATCTATTCTCATTCTTCATGGGAACCCACTTTTGTAGGGCTTTTCTGTAGAAGCTCTGCCCTAAGCTGGGGAGGCCCTGTGGACAGAGAGGGAATGGGGCGGCCCCCGCATCGGGACTCCTCTGGGTTCTGTGGGTACTCACCTGCACACTGAATGTGCCGCATGAACATGCACTTCAAAGGAGCCTGGAGGGGCTCAGCATCCTTGGGAGTTAATCAGAACCTCCAAAGAGAGCTCTCACATCCAGGTTGAGTTGAAAGAAAGAAGTTTTCCTTTTGGGGTGCGGAGAGCTGTCGGAACAACAGGGGCAGGAGGGCGGAGGGCAGATGCTATTTGAGGGGCATAGAGGGGGGCCTGACTTGAACCTCGAGTTCCCATGAGAGGCACTGTCTTGACGGAGCAGCCAAAGGAGGGCTGAAAGGTCTTGGCTCCTTGCCATCTCGCTTTCTGAGTCTGGTTTTCCTTCTCGCTTGTCCATGACTTTTCCTGGGGTCCAGGGTACATGCATTCAGAAGGGTACAGCGGAGGCGGTGTTCCCTTGCCACCGCCATGGGCACTTGCACCTGGCATGCCCACGTTGAAAAGGACCTTTTCTGTCTCTGCGCCCTGCAGTCTCACAGGGCAGACCTTCCTCTTGAGTATGTTTTTATCAATTACCCAGAAGTGGTGTGGGTCCATCACGCTGCCAGGATAAGGAGGCTCCGTCCGGGGTCAACAGTGCTGTGACTTGTGGTGGCTTTAAAGCGGACCCTATGCACAGGCAGACTGTGCTATTGACACTCACCTGCTGCCAGCCTGGTCAGTCCTGTGTTCTGGTGATGCCTTTGTCCCTGGACAGGAACATCTGGGAAGATTTGAGCCGCAGTGGTCCACGCAGTACTATGTGCTGTGTTTTGGTCCCACTGAATTCAAGCGTCATTATCCCCCTCTTGTACATGAGGGGACTGAGCCCCGGCAGTGGTAGATGTCGGGGACATCCTGACATCCAGGTCTTTGTGCGGTTCCTCTGCATGTTATTATGGTATGTTTTAGTCAGCTTTTTCGCTGCTGTGAATAAAAGATCTGACCAGAACAATCTTAGGGAAGAAGAGTTTACTCGAGGGCTCGCAGTTTCCGAGGTCTCAGTTCCTGGGAGGCCGGCTGCATTCCTTGGGGCTCCAGTGGAGGCTGCCCATCATGGTGGCAGAGTGTGGCCGAGGGAAGCAGCTCACATGGTGAGCAGAGAGAGAGACCCCACTGCCAGGTACAAATCTATACCCCAAAGCCCACCTCCTCCAGCCACACCCACCCCTTCAGTTGCCACCCAGTTCATCCCTATCAGGGGATTAATTCACTGATGGGGTTAAGACCCTCACAACCCCATCATTTCTCCTCTGAACCTTCTTGCTTTGTCTCACCTGTGAGCTTCTGGGAGACACCTCACACCCAAACCACATGTGTGTACGAGCATGAAAACGTTTGGAACAGGAAACATGAGCAGGTACTGAAACTTCCCCTGTGGGCTGAACCCCACTGGCCGTCTTTCATTTATGGGTGGCTTCTGCTTCTGTGAATCTGCCGGCCACTGTGGCATCTGCTGGTGACAGACTGCTTGAAGAGGGTGGAAGGACCCACATCCCTCGACCTCCCCCTGTCCCCTACCTGCTCCCGAGCCCTCTGCCCTGTGTGACTTTATCACAGCCACGTCATTCAACTCGGGGAGAAGCAAGTCTGTCGTGCTCTAGGCTGGTAGGATGGAAATGGGGTGCTCTCCACATACTCGGCCAGGGAGGGCCATGCACACCTGTCACACACCCCTGCACATCACCGCTACCTTCCCAATCTCAGCTATTTTATTTGCCAGAGGGGACTGGACATTTTGCAGATAGCATCATGGTTTCTCCCGAGTCCCCCTTTCCCTGTTCGTTGACACATCGTGACAGACTGACTCAAACCCCTTCCCTCGGACTGAGATACCCTGTCAGACCCAGTGGAGGGTCTCCCAGGGCCTCCCTGAACCCTCAATTCTGACCTGACCCTGGACTTGGCAAGCAGAGCCATTTCAGTGGGAGATTCTGTCCCTTGGATTTCCCTGCTTCTCTTGAGCTCCTCTGGAGACACTTAGGACTCTCTCCTTTACTAGGGCAGCACCTGCAGGAGCTGGGTCTCACCTGTTGCTGTGCACCTGCCTGTGCTGGGGACACAGTCAACGTGAGCCTTCCGGCAGTCTTCTTCACTACCTTGGCCAGGTTAATAAACTGTCTACCATGGTGTATGTTCCCATCTCCAGAGTGTGAACCCTCAAAGCCCTCGAGGATCAAATGAGATGATTCAGATAACAGTGCTGCATGCTCAGTAAGTCATTTGCATAAATCAGCTGTCATTGTGGTTAACTCCAGATTTAAGCAGCGGAAGGCTCTTGCACTTTTGCTTTCTAGCTCGGTGGCACCCTTGGCAGATGGTACCCGGGGTCGTAGCTGGTGATTCTTAACCAACCCTCGCTGTCTTCACTCTCCTTCCTGCCCCTGGGGTTTCCTTCTCCATCATGTTCTGCTCTGAATGCACCGACAGCCACCCACTCCTCCAACAAACAGTTTCACCAAGCAGCAAGACACTCGGACATCAGGGGGCTGCTGACTGACTGACATCTTACAGGAGCTACGGTCTTTGTGTCAGGTCACAACTGTGACCCTTATAATGCTGCTGCTGTTTGCACTCTCTGTCACTTTGATAACGAACACAGTGAAAACAAGGCTCTTCTTTAAAGCCTAAAAACACTGGTCAAGGATTTGAAAAAGGACTATTTCTGTCCCACCCTCCTTTTATACATAATGACAGCATGATCGTGAGTCAGATGGTGAGGTTCCAAGAGAGCTTCTGGCAGAGCTGACATGATACCAGGCGTTTTTGTGAAGCCAGATCATATGAAAATTGAGAACCGAAGCTGGTGAAGCTTTGTTCAGCTTTTAAGGAATTGTCTAGGAGGGAGAGCAGACACTTTGACATTGACTTTAAAGGAGACATAAATGTTAGCACCAACTCTGGTGCGCAGGCTCGCGCCTCTGTTTCCTTTCCTCTACTGAGTCTTTGTATTTCTCTCATCGTTTTACATTTTGTTCCATGTTCAAGTTGTAGGTGTGAACTGGTTAAGTAGCTGAACCTCTTGTTTTAAGCGTGATGATCCAGTCTTTCCTGGTTAGAAATAGGTGTCCAGATAAATGACGAGTCAGTACTTGGAGGGACAGTGCACTGTCTCAAGGTCAACCATAGGAGGCAAGCCCAGTAGCTCAGTACCCTGCAGCAGGAATATGGTCTGGTAAGTGTTGGTTTGATTTCCATGAAGAGTCAGAGGGGTTTTTTTATTATTATTTTTTAGGAAGATGCCAAATCCATATGGATGAAATGATAATAATGTCTGGTGTGATTTGCTTTGAAACAATCTCATGAGAGGGGCTGCTGGGGTAAAGATGAAGCAGGGGTTGGCCCTCTATTAACTTCATCATCTGTATGCAGCCATGAAAATAACCCTTATCAAGAATTTTTAAGATGATATAAGTAAGAAAATCAGAAAGTCCAACGTCCTAGTGTGTGCACGTACATAAAATATTTGTGTAAAAATAAACATTGGAAGGAGATTAAAACATTAATTGTGGTTATCCTTGGTTGGTGGGATTATGTGTGATCTCCATTCTGTTTTCCAGACTCCTTACAGGAAACGTGAAGAAGAACATAACTTCTCAAAGTGGGAGCAAAAACACTTTTTAAAGAAAGGATCTTAGCCTGTATTGTGTAAATGAGGGACACGTTTGTTTCAGTTATGTTTTCCATTAAACTGCTCAGGTCAGCAATTAGAGACACACTTAAAGGGGTGACTTATCTCGTGGCTGTGAGCGTGTTTGGGGCCTGCACTGCCCTCTGCACTGTGCGCGCTCTTTGTAGGGGTGTGTACAGGCAAGGCCATGGGCAAGAGCAATCACCACTCCCTTTATGTTCATTGGTAACTTCTGCTCAATATGTTCCTTTAACACAAATTTCTGTCTGATTTCAGTGAGCTGGACATGATTTCCACGAGGGTCATGGACATCAAGCTTCGGGAGTCTGCAGAAGGCCTCGGGGAGGACAGCACAGGTAAGGCCCTGGCTTCCCCTGGGAAGGGTCCTTGCTTGGTGCTGGGGCAAGGGAAGGAGCCGATTGAAGACGGGGCTGTGTGTGAGAGAGAGCGGCCAGTCCCCCGTGTGCTCAGACATCCTTTGGTCCCCACACTGACTAGGAGCACGTCCACGTTATCTGAGGAAACTTGGAGCCGTGTTCCCTGTGTCTCTGTCAAACATAGGGGCTTTTCATGCCATTTTCCTCTTCCTGGAAATGAGTATGTCCCCATGTTTGACTTAAAAGCAAAAGAAAGGGGCCCAAAGGGAATTATTTGTCACCTAAAATTATCTAAAGGTATCTGTAGGAGCCTTTGCAAAGCACAGATGGCCTCATCATCCAGCAAAAATAATCTCATCAAGAGAAAGCCTTTGATCCCTCTCTTGTGATTTTTATTCTCCTCCAGGATGTGTTTATTATGGCCTTTCCTGAGCTAAATTCCAGGCCCATGATTCATCATCTCAGAGCACCTTCCAAGAGTTACTCAATTATGTGATTGGCTCACT